CTGAATGACTGAATATTTGGCACAATATGTGTTAATGACTGGATTTAGATGATGATTTTGTTCTTCATTAGAGGGTACTGGCACTTTCTAAGTGCTGGTAGCTCAAGTTGGAAAAGTGACTACAGATACTCATCTCCATAGGCATTAAGGAATTATGCGCTACAGGTCACAATGACATTGAATGTCCAACATTCCAAGATCTGGGCAGGACATTCCTGATAGTGAACTTTTGCTGAATTCTTTACCTTTATCCTTATAGGAAGTCAATTTTTGTTAAGCAATAGACTACTTGAGTCAGAGCAACATGCCCATGACCAGCAATGCACTCCAGGCCCCCACTTTAACTCCTTTTGTATGACTCACTACGATGCGAAATTCAACATTTAGGGTTGGCTTTAACATTTTATTTAAAAATAAATGTTTTTATTAAACTATAACATTCCCATAGAATTCCGAAAAGTCAATGGCAAGATTGAGATGTTTTCTGGAGATCAGCAGGCTATCTGCCAAGAGCTTTTGGTTCAAACACCAAGACCAAGAGGTCTTTTTTTCCTTCATCGTATGTCTAGAAACCTCAATATGTCAGAGTCTCAAAACTGAACACACCCAGGGAGCAAGACCTACGCTAACTAAATGTACAAGGAACACAATTATAACTAAAATTTCTTTGTGTTGACAATAATGACCAGAACTGTCACGAAGACCACCAGGCTCCTGTGGTTGTAACTAGCACATTCTTTCCTTGCAGGCAGAACAAGTGGGAAGCCAAAATATGAACTGAGTACAGAATGAGAACAAAAGAAGATGTGTATTCTCGAGGAATATTTTATCCAGGACACAAGAGCCCTGATGAAGCGGCCATCTTTTTCTTCAATTATTAAACACTCTCTGGTTGTATGTATGTACGTATGTCATTGTATACATGGCCACATATATTTTCTTCCAGATTCATGTCTCTCACAGTCTTGTTTACCAACCTCCCCCTCTCTGACATTGTTTTCTGATAGAACCAAAGCATGCTCCCAAAGTTCACACTTTCGTCCACTATAGTAAGACTGTGAAAGGAAGTAAAGGTCATTAGTACGTGAAAGTACTTATTAATGATATGACCACTTATAAATTAGTCCCCCATTCATACATCTCTTTTAAACTCCAGGCTCCCTTCCCCGACTCCCTATGGTGGTAAATATTTAAATATAATGCAAATATATTTTATTCCTTGCAAAGTAAAATTGCAAATGTGGGAAAAGGTATAGGATTTCATGATGTCGATGAGAGTGAAGTTGGTAAAGCAACTGGCAAATGAGAATCTATAGACTTAAACAAACAAATGAAGGTAAAGTCAACAGCGATGACGACTATATTGATACTTTAGAGGAGAAGGAGAGACTACTTTGAATATTAAAGAATTAATTGAGACCCTTGGGTAAACTGATGAAACCCTCAAACATTTTACAAAAATGACCCTCTTTTTCATTATAGTGTCAAAGTCAAATATGAAATAAAGCATGTTGTAAGGTGCTTCGCTTTTTGTAGAAAAAATTAAGCCAACAATAACTTTCTTATTCATTCTATAATTAGAACATAGTTGTACTTATAACAAAAGTTTTGTTCAATATTAGGATAGAATATATTTTAATAATATTGAGTTTTATTTTCAAAAAAAGTCCCCAGCAAACCTTTTTTCACTAATTGCTCTGAAATTTGGTCCGTTTTAAGCAGATTTCCTTTAAGGTGGCTTTACTAATGCTAATCACACAGGCTAATAAGGACTTCCTGTACTGATGGAGAACTTCTCTAATAGTAACAGTCCAATGTCTCAATTGTGTCTATTTACATATTACATTTTTACTATTTTGTTCATAAAATATCCTCATTTCTTAATTCTTGTGTGGGGGAGGTAACATATACTCATAGATGTTTTCTATAGGATCGCTTCCAAAGGGTAATATTATTAAAAGTAATATTAGTGTCTTTTAAAGTAACATGTGTAGAGGACACAGACTTTGGAGTCAACTTGGAGTCAGACCTATATTTGAATCTGCTTCTGCCACATAACCAATATATGGTAATGGGCAAATTATGTGCCCTCTGTGAACTTTGGTATCTTCATCTGTGAAAGTGAAGCAATAATAGCTCCCTCACATGATTGTGGTGAAGAGCAGACGTGAACATGTGTAAAATGCTGGGTACTGAGAAGGCATGCAGTATGCAGCAATTACAGCAGTGCGGTTTATTTTTGGTGTGTTTAATTGCTAAAGTTCCATTGTGACCTTTATTTGTTGATTATTTTGTACATTGATTCTTTGCATGTGTTTTGCAATGTGAACCTAGAATCTCTTGGCTATAAAAAGTAGGTAAATATGATGAATATTGAAAATGCACCTTTAAGAGCATCTTGTTACACGAATCTCTGAGAATGAATTCTAAAATATTCTATAAAGTTTTGAAACAAGTCATAGTGAGGTTTTCAGGATTTACATTATAAAATTTGGTTGAATTTCTCCATTGAATGGCTGATATTTACATCAGGAAAACCTCAATGGAAGACCCCCTTCCTTCTCCGCATCCGAGCCATTTTTGTAAACAAATCTTGACTTAAAACCAAGAAACTCTGTCTTTTACCACACAGAGTGCCCCATATGCAACGCAGTCTTGAAAGTCAGATGTGCCCAGATTTGAGCCCCACTCAACTGCTTTTTAGTTGTGTGACTTTGACCAACTTAATACTTCCAAGTCTGGGTATCTTCATCCGTAAAGTTGAAGATAATTAAAATACCTACCTCAGGGTTGTCATGAGGATGAAATAAGACATTGCATAAAAAACATTTATGTGCCCATACAGCCCAGTATATTGAAAGTGCTTAATATTTACTATTATTTATAAAATTTTCAAACTTACGAGTTAACAGGTATGTCATATTTTGTTCAAAGTTGGTAACAGTGTAATACAAAAACAAAAATTAAGCTCACTTGAGTCTCAAACATCACATTATATGCTTTGGTCTTGCCTTTTGCCTCTCCAGTTTCCTGTATCTGAGTTCCTCTCCTTCCCTTTACTTCCCCATGAACTCCTCTTCTGCTCCAGTGCTTCTCAATAGCCACCTCTCCATCCCCACACACAATGGGGACCGCAGGGGGGAAACATTATTACAAATTGGCAAGGGGCTTCTACCTCCCCTTCTTTTCTAAGACTGTGGTATGTCCCCCCATGGGTCTGATTAGTTCAGATACTATTTTGTTTACTTAGCTAAAGCCAGGAGGTAATGATGGCTAGCATCTGAGTTACAAACTTTATTTTGACTCTTCATAACAATCAGGCAAGACAGATACCACTATTTCTATTTCTGAGACGGGTAGGCAGAGGATCTGAAGTAGTAAGTTGCTCAAAGTCACACAGCTAGTAAGTGGCAGCACCAAGGACCATAATGATCAAGTTAATGCATTAATTGGGATGTGATGGCTTTAAGTGGTTTTCTACTTCTGGGAAAGATACATTCCACTTTTCAAAGAGAGACAGAGTGGCCTTCTCATACTGGCATTAACACGCATATGTGCTATCACAATATCGCTTTATTTATGTATGACTTAACCTTTTTATACCATTTATCACCTAGCACCACGAATATGTATAAATACTAAATGCACCAAGGTCCTTGCAACATTCCATGCATATACACTACAGTAAATGCATCAATTACACAATGTAGCTGTAGATCTGGCCAACAGAATTTCAGATACCAAAAAGTAAATAGACTCCTCAATCCCCAGTAATTCCTGTTTAATATCCCTTAGCAAAAACTCAGTTTCTCATATCTGAGTAAGTGCTGAATTCGGCAATCATTCCAAAAGTGGAAGTTCGACTCAGTGCATTTTGAGGAAGCTTGAACCATACTAACCATTTAAGGTCAAGCAAACAATTGGTCCACCCTAACAACGTGCATTGAGCAGGGTTATCACCACAGTACTCTGTCTACAGATCCCTATATGCCAGCTCCAGAATACAACACGATTCCTCCTCTGGTCAGACACTTCTCCTGAAGCCACGTGGGGAGCCTCACGTTTAAGCCTCTTAGCAAGCTGCCGGCCCCCACCTGCGCCCCACGTCCACCGGGCTCCCTCCATTCTCTTTCACACGTACTCAAGCGAAACGTCCCCTTTTAGTCAACTCTAACCGGGAGCCGGACTCCCGGCCCCATAGCCAGCTCCGGGTCCGAAGGAAAGGGCGGCGGCGGCGCGCACGGGCGCGCGAGCAGCGGGGCGGGGACGCGCTCAGTGCGCGGGAGGCGGGCGCAAGCGGCTGTCTCCGCGCTGCTCCCCTTTGTTCTGTGCCATTGTATGGCACTTCCTCCTCTGGCGCTTCTGCTCTGCGCCCTGGCAGCCTGTGGGGAATTTGTGAAGGGACTTTTGGTGCATTTTTCTTTTTCGGTTTATTTTTTAGTAAGCGAGGACCTCCCTTGCACGGCCTCACCCGCGCGGCTCCCCGCCCCCGTGCCTAGGATGGAGGCGGAGTGAGACGTGTCATTCCGCCCCGGGCCGGGGGATTCTCCGCGGGTCTCCAGCCCCGCTCCTCCTCCAGGAGGCATCCTAACCCCGCATTCTGGACTTTCACCTCCTGACGGGCCGCGATCACGCCAGAACGGCGACACGCGACCCCCTTCCCTCCGAGGGGCGCAGGCTCCGGAAGCCCGGAACTCCGCCAGGCACCAAGGCGAGGGTCGGAGGCCGGCCCGAGCCCGGCAGCCTCGGCGTCCCGGGAGCCAGCGCGAGTGTCACCGCAGCCCTCCCCATCCCTCGCGTTCGCGCTCCCGAGCAGCCGCGCGGCCGCCTCAGCCCCCTTATATAGCTCTCTAAAAATAGCTCGTCTCGCACCGCCTTGTAAGGCAGCAGGGAGATCCACAGTGCGCCAATCCACGCTCGCCGCCAGGCCCAAGCCCCGCCCTGGGCCCTGCTCTGCGCTCTCCATTGGTCCTCAGTGACTTCATGAGCCCCCTGTTTACCTTACATGGTCACACGCGGCTTAATGGACGCCCTCCTCGGAGATCCCACGGCTGCGCGGAGAGTCGGGCGGAGGGAGGGAGTTTGGGGAGGGGGAAGAGCAGGAGGAGGAGAAAAGGAGGAGGGGGGAAGAGACTACAAACTACCAAGGATGGGTGGGGGTGGGGAGGGAGAGGAAGGTGGGGGGGAGAGAAGCGATCGCGAGAGAAAAAAAAAATGCAACCTCCCAAAATAAAGAGCAAAGATTGCATTAGGAGCGAACAGCGCTGCAGAAATAGATGGCAGCTTCGTGTCAGTGAGTTTGCATCCCCCTTCCTGATCCACGAGCTGGAGTGATTAGAGCCCTGGAAGGGAATTGTTACTCCCGTGGAGAAGTCCCCTTTTCCTGGCAGCCGTCTGCACTGTACACGCTGGATGCCTCTCTCCATCCACCCCACTCACTCTCTTCTCTCTCACCTCCTCTCTCCCTCTCTCCTGCATTGATTTTTTTTTTCCTTTTTAGTTGACTGAAACAAAACAAAACAAAAGGGCCACTGGATGTCTGCCTTCTTGGGGGGTGAGCCAGACAGACTGACAAACAAACAGACCCAACTGTGTTCGGGGGAGGGTTTCTCCTCCCGTTTTGCCCGGCAGCAGCAGCATGGACGTGTTGGCTAGTTATAGTATATTCCAGGAGCTACAACTTGTCCACGACACCGGCTACTTCTCAGCTTTGCCATCCCTGGAGGAGACCTGGCAGCAGGTGAATGATTTAAATTACTTGTGTAAATCGTGTGGTGGCGGCGGAGACGCAGGGGCTGCGTTGGTGTGGGCTTCGGGTTTGAAAATTCTGTTTGTTTTATTTTTCCCCCCCTTTTTGACTGTTTGTTGTTTAAAATGTTTTCGGAAACAGTCATCTGCGTTTACCTCTCCACCCACCCCCTAACCCCTTAGTGTGCCGAGCTGAGCAGCTGGTCGAGCTGCCTGCGTTTCAGTCACCAGCACACATCCTTGCGCACACGTTGTCGGGCTCACAGCCCCCCAGCAAAGACCTGCCTAACTTCTGGGGTTCGGAAAAGCAGAGTGGGAAGGTGGTTTGGGGCTTTACGAGCCATCGCTGACAGAATACCGCGTCCCTACATGCACGACCTCTACCTACTTGGTACCTTAAATCAGGTTCATCTCTTTCAACTGGTGCTGACGACCGTCAGATGCGGGGT